GGGGGGGGGGGCTCAAATAAGATTCAGAAATAAACTTCTCAGTTTAAGAAAATATCGATACCCCCCTACTGCCCAAAGAAGGGAGATAAGTTCTCTGGGAGCTGTGGAGCCTCCAACAGAGGGCCACCCCATGCCTTTGGGAGCTACCTGGTGCAAACCAGTCCTGAGGCTGGAGCCCATGTGGCACAGGGACCCAGGGAGGAGGGCAGGGAGACAGGTGATTTTCCACGTCTCTCCCAGGCCTGGCCAGGCACCAACTTCCAGTCAAGCACTTTGTAATTACCTCCTTCCCCATTTCCAACCTAAACCCCATCTTTCCCTCACACCCTGCCCCTCAAGGAAAGGGGGAGAATCTCCCCTAATCTGCCATCTGCTCTCCCCAGGGAGTGCTTTAATCTCTCACTCACTCACACAGGAACCTTTCACAGAAGCACAAAAACAAAAACCAAAACCAAAACCCTAGTGCAACAGCAAAGGGGCAGACAAGTGCACAAATTAAAAGCAACTTACTTTGCAGGTTATGCATTTCAACGGTTTCTCTTTGAATGCCTGTATCCGACAATGAAAAAAAATCCAAAGAGCTATTCTTCCAGCAAGGGGGCCCAGCCCCCGCAGCGCTCCCGCGGCTCGGCAGGCGGTGCTCGCGCCACCGAGGGACCCCCCCGACGGACCGGAGCGGTCCCCAGCAGCGCCCTCCCAGCCCCGCTGCACCCTCACCGGCTCCCCGCGGAGACGGCGGCCAGCCGGCAGGGCGCTGGGGAGGGAGCGGGCCCGGGCGCTCGCGAGGCGCTCTCAGATAAAGATCGCGGCTTCATGATTAACTTGGGCAGGTTCAAATATTTGCTGAGCCAGGGATTTCGGGGAGGGGAGGAGAGCCTAAGTCAAAGTCAAAGTTGTCATCTGCTAACAAGTGGCCAATGCCAGCCCAACTCGCTCATTTGCGCCGAGGAAATGAGAAGGCCATTGTGCGAGACCTAAAATAGTCTCTAACTGGCTGCGCGCTCGCTGGCTCGGGGCTGCAGTGGCCACAGTGAAGGAGGCTCTATGCGCAGCCAAGCACAGGAAGTGGCTGAGCTAGTTCAGCAAAAAATAGAATCAAAGCCTTGCTTGTAAAGGCCTGAACCTCTCGGAATGGCCCGCACGCCATGCCCTGCTCCAGTCCACCTCCTCCCACACCCAGCACAGGCAGCCCGCAGGTGTAGCAGGAAAGCCCTCAGCAGCCACTGGGCAGGGAACAGGTTTAAAAAATATTTAATAGTATTCTAACTCGGCATGGATGCTGTACTCCACGGCCATGTGACAACGGGGAAAGAAAAAAAACCCACTCTGCAGCTATGTTTACAGGCAATTTCAACCCCAGC